GTACTGGTCCAGATCCAGTCCAGCATGATTGTGGTACTGGTCCAGTCCAGCATGACTCTGACACTGGTTCAGTCCAGCATGGTACTGGTCCAGATTTACCACATCATGGTACTGGTCCACATCCAGTCCAGCATATTCTGGTACTGGTCCAGTACAGCATGGTTCTGGTCCTGGTCCGGATGAGGTCCAGGTTCTTGCAGCTGCAGTGTGAAGAGAGCAGAGTTCAGAGTCCTGAACAAAACAAACCTGTGTGGCAAACTGGACTTAGACCCGGAGAACCCGGGAGACCCGTCCAGGACTCTGCTGTGAACATTTCAGAAACACTCGACGGACAGACCTTCCACTACGCTCTCTAACTCTGCTCTTATTGGCTCGCCTGGGGCTGACTGACCAATCAGAAACTCTCTATTCCAAACAGCCTGACCAGTCATGGCGGGGAGATGGGGAATCTGATGAGGCGGTGGATCGTGATTGGATCGATGAGACAACCACTATGGCACAAACCAATCAGAGAGGGACGGAGAGACTTGATTGGTTCGAGGTGAAATGGTGGGAGAAGTTGGGGGGTTGTGACGCCACAGTTTCACAGGGGGTAAAGGCGCTAACTGATGACATCACAGCAGGTGGTGGGCGTGGCTCCATGCGCAGTGGTGACAGACACCCCCCCAACATGGCCACCGTTAGCGTAATGAACCACTTACCATTAATGGGCACTTTAGAGACAGATAGAAGAGAAGAGAGAGAGGAGACAGGGGTCAGCAACAACGTCACTGCTAACACAGCTAGCAAGAAGCTAACACAACTAGCTCCTGACACTGCTCTGGTTGAACTGCTAGCTAACCTGGCTAATTGTAGTCTGGGTGTAGGACTCATGCCTGGCCTGAGGACAGTTTAGCTCATCTGAGGAGAGAGGACAAACGGGAATATATGCAACGGTTTGCTTTTAGCTTCTCCTTCCTTCACCTGAAAGCTCTGCTAGCCTAGCAGCTCAGCTCGTGCAGCTTAACCTGGTAGCATGTGGGTTGTTTAGGAGAGGGCTCTGGACCGCCACTCGGTGTGAGCTTTTGAATTCTCCAGATCAAAACTTTCTGCATTTCATTACTATTTAGACGGTAAAGAGTTTGTTTTTACTCTGAGCTCTGGTACATCCAGTCCGGACTGAGCAGGGCTGAGTTCCCAGACAGCTGGACGTCTCCATGCTCACCTGACACCACGTTTCCACCGAGGCATGGCAACGTTTTAAGGCGTTAAAGGTTCCCTCAGCTCTTTGTTATCTGTGGTTCCACTGTGGTCTAAAACCTTGCAAAGATTTCTCTGTTTCAAAAACATGGTCTGTTTTCTTTCTGTTGCATGCAAAGCAGAAGCTGTCGGAAGAATTTGTCAGATGTCTGGACTCGGCTGTCCATCGATTTATCAGTGGCCAAAAAAACAAATACACCTCTTTTCAGTTTTAAGCTGTTAAAATGACGGTTGCAAACTGCTGGGAAAACCCCCCAAAAAAACCAACATTCAAAGAAGTTTCTGCCCAGCACAACCTTCAGGAAACAAATGGTGCCTTTGTCCTGCTTAGGTTTGGAGGTTTCCCGGATCGGCCTCCCAATCGGCCTTTTCAGCCGTTCTGTTACAGCCCACAGGCTCCTGCAGTGGAAAACAGAAAGTGTTCCACAGGGACGGTTCCTGTGGTCCCAACCTAAACAACCCACAAGTTCCTGTCATGGAAAACGGCATTCAAAGAGGTTCTACATGGAACTGAAAGAGGGTCTACAGAGATGGTTCCTGCAGCCGCACCTAAAACAGCCTGCAGGTTCCTGCAGTGGAGCATAGCCCACTCTGTTCTGGTGCTAAACCTTCTGGTTGCTGCAGGTGGACAGGGTTCAGCTGTGCCTGCTGTTCAACCTTCACCTCTGTGGGAGTCACACATGGAGACTGACCGAGCTCAGGTGTTGCTCGTTAGCACACCTGGCTGCAGTTGTTTCAGTTCCTCAAACAAAGGCACTTGTTTCTCAGCTCTGTCCCGACTCTCACTTCTGTCACTTTTCATTAGTGAGCAGAACATGAGCTCGCAGCAGCCCATCGTCCTGCGGACACACCTGGACGCCTGGTGGCTGCACAGGACTGGACCAGTCGGTACACAAGCGTTTACACTTACAGACTGAAACAGCAGAATTAGACAACTGACAGACAAACTGAACCTTGATGGTTTTTAAATTCTGAACAGACAATACGGATCCACAGCGAACTTAGAAACTGTGTTTGAGTGGAAAGTCTGGGGCTGTCAATGGAAACGTGACTGAACTTGACTTCCAGCAGCTGAACACTTGAATTCATGTTTTTATCATCACTCAGCTTCTTTACATGAAGCTGCAGGTGTTGCCTGGATGCAGCGGTGTGGGCGTGGTCAGGGCACTGTGACACCTTGGGTGGGTGTGGCTACAGTCTGCTGTCTGGCTTCTCCTTAGAACGGCCTCTCAGTGGTACAAGAACGTGTAGTTGCAGCTCTTCTTCGTTGTGTGACCAATTAAATGAACAGTTTGTAACTGCACAGACAGAGGACGACATACTCAGCACAGCTTCTTGGGTTTAGCATTTCAGGTCGTGTTTTTTATGCTTAGAATCAGGACCGAGGCGTCCAGAAGTCAAAGCTGTGACTGGCTGCTCTGTTTCAGGTTTGTGTGTCAGCGTCCACGAGGCGTGTTGTGTCCATGCAGAGGTTGGAGGACAGACGTGACGTCAACACGACACGCAGGATGTTGTGGATGCAGGGATGGAGTGAAGCCCACCGTCATTAAACAAAAATAAAAAGTCACATCAACGGGGTAAGAACCAAAGATAACCAAAGTCAAAAGAAAAAAGAAACAAATGCTGATAATTAAACTGTAAAAAAATGCAAAAGTCAAACTAAATAAGAAGTTCAACCAATTGAAGTGGAATAAATTAGATGAACAGTGAATAACTCAGAGTAAATATATTAAAGAAAACAATCGTATTTTTTATTTTAAAGACATAACAGAATGTTTGCAATAGAACTATTTAAAAAAAAAGGAATAAAACTCAAAGCAAGACCATTAAAATAAAAAGACTCTAAAAGGGAAATGGAATCAAATTAAACACACGTCATCATTAAAGATGGAGGAACTGGAGGAAAAAACAAAACAATAAAAAAAGAGTTCAAAAAATTAAAGCAGCCGAACGAGAAGCAAGCAGGGATGGATGGAAGCCAGAAGATCACTCTCTCTCTTTTCACCTGTCTGTCTGTCTACCTGTCTGTCTACCTGTCTGTCTGTCTGTCCATTCCCTGTCTGTCTGTCTGTCTGTCTACACGTACACGTCAGTTTTTCTGTCCTACACAGCAAACAAAGGAAAAAGAGTCTCACCCAGAATGGCCGTCGGTACAAAGGGATCTGAAACCAGGAGGCAGCAGCAGCAGCAGGAGAAGAAGAAGAAGAAGAAGAAGACAGACAGACAGACAGACAGACAGACAGACAGACAGGTAGGAAAAAGACAAAAGAAGAGAAGAAGAAGCGTCAGCAGCTCGGTTCTGGGAGTCTGCTCCAGAACATCCTACCAGACGTGGATCAGCCAATGGGGATGCGCCCATGTGACCAGTCTGTATTATTCTAAACACAAATCTGCTAAAAGCGTCAGAGGTGTGTTCAGGTGAAGCCCTCTGAAGGCAGCCGTCCTCCACTGACGGGCTGAAGGCAGACTGGACCAGTTTGGATCGACAAACAGAATCATTTCACCGGTTTTATGATCAGCTGACGTTGGCGAAGCTCAATCGGCCGTCTGCTTCCTGTTTGTTGTCGCTGTGATTGGCTCAGCTGCTTCAGGACAATGAAAGGAGTGAAGTGAAGTCAGAACTGGTTCCACCTGCTAACGGGGACTCAGTGTGTCATCACTGGACCTGGTCCCAGTGAGTTCTGATGTGTACAAACAGGAATGAAAAGAACAATGTGTCTGGAAACAACATTTGTTCCACCTTCATGGGTTCGGGTTGAACCCACGCTGTCGTGTGTCTGTGTGATCCTCTGGGCTGCAGTAAAAAGCAACCGGACTTCTTTTGAGGTTCCTGAAGACATTTCAGGTCCATATCAGGCTGTTCTCCAGGTTGACCCGCCTGGTGCTGAGTCTCACATGTGTGTGACTTGGGGTGTGGATGGTGTTCCTGGTGAGGGACGACTGCAGACGCAAAGGGTGGTCAGAGATCACAGGATTGCCTTGTCAGTACCTGATAAGTGGTTCTGCAGAACCTCTGTTTAGAGAACAACAGTGCTGAACAGAGGAGGGACTCGACCCTCAGAACCACAAAGGTGCTGAACAAAAGTTAAAGAGTTTCTTCACATGAATGCCACTGAAGAACTATTTTAGTTCCACCACAAAAAGCTTTGAGCAAGAGGGTCTGTAAAGAGCCATGAGGGCGGTTCTGTGGAACCGTGGACGGATCAAAAGTGTTGAACAGTTTCCACAGAAGTCTTTCTGACTGACTGTGGACACGATGGTGACAGAACGACAGGACTTGGTGATTGTTCAATGTTTCTGCCTTGTGGGTTCCTTCCCTTTGAGCTCATGTCATGTTTTGGATTCTGGATATGAACGTGTCCGAGGTGCCCGTTTGGGTTCAACTCTGGTGAACATCTCTCTCTTTTCAGATGTTTTATCGACCAAATGATTTTTCCAGAATAAAATAATGACTTCATGCTGTTTGCTGCCACAAAACCAAAGAAGTCCAATAAACATGAACAAACTTTAAAGAACCACATAAAGTAAAGAACCATCCCCAAACTAAGGAGGTTCTTCAGTTGGTGATGGAGCTTTGAAGAACCAGAGAACTATCACAGAACCAATCTTTTGGGAGGAACACCACACCACTTATCAGGTATCTATAATGCTGTCTTGAGCTCCCTCACCAGGCAGGCTCTCCATCATGAACATCCAGCTGCTTCTTACTGACACTCTGAGGAGTTTCTGTTGATGTGCAAACATCTGGCTGAAGTTACCAAAAGGGTTCAGACTCCATCACCTGAGCTACAGACTGATTCTGTGTTGTTGCTCAAATTTGTCTTGCAGGACCAAGAACAAGCTTTTTCATTCAGATAAGCGGTTGTATTTTCAGATCTTTGTGTGGATGATGTGGCTCAGAGTCTCCTCAGAAAGCACACTGACAGACTTTCATACAGTTCATGTAGACGTGAGCAGGCTGAGTGCTGTTTACCTGGATAGTAGGAGTTGGGGACGGTGGTGCTGATGGTGTTGGTCTTCAGGGTGAAGGACGACGGAGATGACACAGCTGGACAGAAAAAACAGAAGCTTCATGTTTCCTCAACACATCTCCACAAAGATCACAAACTGGTCTGAAAGGCAAACTGAAGTGAGTTAAGGTGTTTCCTGCATGTTTGGTGTCAAACCTTCCCTCTCAGCAGCTTTCAGACGGTCCTCCAACTACTCATCAGTTACATCCGGAGAACTGACCCCACATGTCTCATTTAAACACTGCCTCAAAATAAGATGTGACCAGCAGGAAGCATCCAGAGAGCTTCAGGTGAACTGCAGCCAGAGTTTCCTCAGAGAGACTGAAGGAGAATCCATCCTTCTGGATCAATGAATAGATGCAGCA